TGTGTTGTGAGATTAAGGAGTTTTCATCATGTCTTCTGACTGCTAGTTGGTGTCCTACATTTGTACATCCTACAAACTACCAACAGACTGTTAGAACCACATGGCATCTCCGTAGCACCCAAAGCAACTAAAGCCCTCCAAAACATCTTAAGCAAACCAAAAAATCCAGTAGCCCAAGAAGAAAAACAGGAGTCATACAACAACATACAATGTAAGGACTGTAACAACCACTATGTAGGACAGACAGGCAGAAGGCTGGCAGAGCACATCCATGAACACCAACTAGCAGTCAGAAGACATGATGAAAACTCCTTAATCTCATGTAAAAGCTGGCAGAGCACATCCATGAACACCAACTAGCAGTCAGAAGACATGATGAAAACTCCTTAATCTCATGTAAAATGTACTTTTGTAAACTTGACTGTCATCCTTCCCCTCCCTCCCTCCTTCCCGTCTTTCTCCTTCCTTCCTTCCTTCCTTCCTTCCTTCCTTCCTTCCTTCCTTCCTTCCTTCCTCCTCCCTCCCTCTTTCTTTTCTTTTCTTTTCTCTAAACCTCTAAATCAACCACTATGTAGGACAGACAGGCAGAAGCCTGGCAGAGCACATCCATGAACACCAACTAGCAGTCAGAAGACATGATGAAAACTCCTTAATCTCATGTAAAATGTACTGTTGTAAACTTGACTGTCATCCTTCCCCTCCCTCCCGCCTTCCCGTCTTTCTCCTTCCTTCCTTCCTTCCTCCTCCCTCCCTCTTTCTTTTCTTTTCTTTTCTTTTCTTTTCTTTTCTCTAAACCTCTAAATCAAAAGCTAAATTTTGCTGCTTCTTAACTTAGTTAAATATACTTCATCAAGGTGATTCCCCTCATCCCTGTTTTCTCAAAGTTGTGAAAAACACTTTTGGGCATAATTTTTTTCCCAATTTTGGTAATATTTAATTACCTACCTAGGAGCCTAGAGAAACAATGTCAGTCAAACTCTAACCTACAAATGGTTTAGTGTTAGAACAGTCATATCTCTGGCTGATTTGGTTATCCAAGATGCTAATAGATGAACAGACCTGTATTATAATGATAGACTGCAGAATATAAATTAATTGAAGATTATAGTATAGAATATGGAGAACATTCTGCCTTTGTTACTCTAATGGTGTCATTCTAGATTCATTTGGACTCAGTGAAATCTGGATAGGAGATAATATGCATGTATATCTTCCCCAAATCTGTGTAGGAATTTTACTGTAGAATAGGAGTACCCAACTTTTTTCAAGATGAGGGCTATACCTAGCTGTTGACATTAACAATATTTAATTTTAGTAAAATGTAAACGAAATTGATTTTAGTTTTTCCCAATCCACTCACTACTTTTGGAGTGTGGCCTCAGTAACATTGCTGGCCTAGGAAAAGTCACATATCATTGGCCCAAATAGGGGATATTCCACATTCTTCTTCCTTGGACTGGCTTCCTCATGAGGCAAAGTGAATCCTTTGTTCAAGCAGCCTTGTGGGATGGGGCCCAAGGGGGTTTGCAGATAGCCCTAAAGGTGAGAAGCCCATGGGTCCCATCAGTTTCTAATTCAACACTACAATAATTGGTGTTAAAAATTTTAAAGCCTTTTAAGAAACGTTAAAAGGCTTCATGGTGAAATCATAATGAAAAGACATGGCATCTTTTTACATGATAAGGCACATAGGAACAGTGATGTCAGCAGCTCTACACCTTCCCCTATGGCACCAAGAGAACCATCCTCAAAGTATGTAGGGTAGAAAGGGTGCCAGACAACCCCAAAATGGACAGATTGATGAGATTCCAATATAGTGTAGACAAATTCCAGGTCATAATCTGCACTCTCAAAGATGGATCATTTTGCCCATCAGGCAATTACAGAGAACACTATTCTTCCAGATACCATTATTGTCCATGGTGTAAGTGGCTA